TACTCATCTTAATGCCCCCTTGTTCTTAAGCTTCATTTAAGATAAGAGTCATTTTATTTTAGGTTTATTTTATGCAAATGATTCTCTGTGGAGCAACTGCAGCAAGTCACGCTGTCTCTTTTTTTTTGTTTGGTTTTGTTTCCGTACGCTCGAGTGTTTGTGAACTTACAAATTCAGCCCCGAAACACTTTACAGTCCCTGAGGGTCACATATATACACGTAGCTCTTTCCCAGTTTACGAGCTCGCCACCAGTCTGAGCCGAGCACCCCTCCCTTGCACTTATCTCTTGCACCCTTATATTTGGCACAGCAGGTAGCGTAATTGTTCTTGGAAAGAGCCTATCAGCTAAAGCCTCCATTTTTGACTTCTTGTCGCAAAGACCTTTATCATAACACCCCCCATTTTTGCCCAGCTCCAGGCTCTAACTGCAGAGTGCCTCTGAAACAAAAAAAGTGTTTCAGCTAAGTCATTCTCTTTTTGATGGAGAACAGGGGTGGTGGTGGTGGTGGTGGTGGAGGGGAGGGTGCAGGGAGGTGAGTAGATGGAGAATATAGACTGGAAAATATGTCTTCTGTACGAGACCCTCCTCGCAGTCCACTCCAGCGCCCCCAATCCATGAAACGCAAACTCCCACTAGCTCTCTTGCGAGCAGAAACAAATTCTAAAACTGTCATACTTTAATTGAAATTCCATCACTTGTGTGGCTGCTATTGTGGAATAATTTGATAAAGCTGTGTGACATGAATGCACAGAGCCGCCCGCCACTTCCATTTCTTCCCCCAGCTTTTATTTCCTCATTCTGCCGGTTATTCAAATGAACCTCAGTGGATTCTGCTCTCAGCCTTTTCCAAAAAAAAAATTAAGATAAGAGGAAATGAGACAATGGGAAGGGCATAAAAAGAAATAATGTTTTGGGTTGCAACACAATCAGAATGAAGTCCTTAAAAATATTACCAAGATCCCATTTTATACCCCATCACCTTCATTATTGCAATATTTGAGACCAGAATTATTATGTTTCACTTGCGCTCTTTTGGTTTTTCCTCATAATTAGCTTCAACTCCCTCAAAGCGCGAGTAGTGACAGACTGTTAGTTGCTAGATGATCCAAAAATGGAGGTCAAGGGCAGAATTAGAATCCTCCGCCAGTGCCACTGACCCCGATCCAAATCCATACCAGCATACTCCCCCCTCCCCTTCTATGTCTTCACAACTGGCTACAGGCGTTTGGCATCCATCATATCTCCTGAAACCCAATATGCAAGCAAAGGACAGCTGCGGGAGAAAAAGCAGCCCTCCCTGTTTCTGTCACATCCCCCCCACATCCCGCCCCGTATGCAAAGCCTGGGGGCAGAGCCGCGGGGCGAAGCATTCCCACTTAAAACATGGCAAAAGTGACACGGTGCTTTGTGTGCCATAATGCATACAAGTGCGTTTAACAAAGCGGGATGCATGTAGTGAAATGAGGATGAAAGAACGCGGGAAAGGAAAGGGATTTTTTTTGTCATGATGCGACTCATTTGAGACACACAAGAGCGGAGAGTAACAAAAATGGCGAATAAGAGTAAGCAGAAAAGCAAAAAAAAGCTCAGCTCTGGCCCTGTATTCCCTCCACTGCCAAATAATATTTATGCCTCAGCTTTCTGCCCTGACAGGGTGATGGACAGTAGAGGTGATTTTGCCTGGGCGTGAAAATAGGCTTCTTATTATTCCAACCCAGTGGCAACTTGAATATCAATAAAAACTGCTAGCGTTCCCCTATGTGTAAAACCAATGCCCCGTAGCGGTGGTTTTTATCAAGCAACCCACCCTTGACGCTAGTTATGCAGTAGTAGAGGTTACGGGAGGAAATGCTTGCCAAGTAAATAAGTGAGTGAAGCGATTGAATAGAGGGGAAAAACACTGCGGGACCGGGGCCAAAGTGAACCAAGGGTAAAGTCATGATCACTTCATTATGCCGCGGTGCAGCTCAGTGTTGTGCGAAATCAAACTGCTTTCTCATTTGTCACAATGCATCAAGCTGGCCTCTGTGAAGCGGGTCTCGTAGTCGGGCAGGAGGCCCCCGAAGCGCACACGGCTTGATTAACACGAGGGGACCCAACTGCACAACACACACAGGATGCATGCGTACAGTGTAAAGACCAATGTGACACATGAATTACACTTGCCCCCCCCACCCCACCTCCCCATCCCCTAGTGTGACATCTACAAAAAAACTCCTGCATCCACCAACCACCCACCCTGCCAGCCAAGCCTGCCAGTCAGTCAGTGGGTAGCTGTTGAGGGCCATTGTTGGCACAAAATAAGCTAGAATACACCCACTGGATTACAGAGGGCAGGCAGCGAGGGGGGTGATTGCTAACAGACCTATTGGCACTCCATCTCCTCCAGTTCCAACACCACGGCGCCTGATAATTGTGGCCCTCTGTGTTTACGTATCCATTTTTGTAATGTAAGTGTTGATTTCTCATTCCACACTCGTAATAGGGGCCCTGGCCTTGGAATTCCTGAAGTAGCGCTCACACACACACACACACACACAGGCAAAGGCACATGTGTACACACAAAATGATAGAAAACAAACTTTTTTTTTCCTCCCTCCCTCCCTCTCCCTCTCTCTACTCTTGAAAATAAACCAGTGAGTCAGAGCTACTTGGCTGTGCTGAGACAATGGCACTGTGAGGTGCAGGCACACTTGTTCATAAGAGGGCTTGGCTTTGTGCCAGAGAAGGACTTGGATAAAGAAATATTCAAAGCTTCCGTAGCCCTTCCAAACGCTTCTGTTCAGACTGAGCGCGCCGTCGTCATTGAGCTTTTATCAATGAGCTTTAACCAACTTGGGTAGCAGAAAACGCAGCCGGGCAAATGTGCACTGGAAACAAAAAAAAAAACAGGAGACATCTATCTGGAAGACGTTTCTCTCTATGACTTAGTTTTGGAAGTAGCCCGTTGTCCCTTCCAGACACTGTCAAAAAATGTATTTTATGACTTCAGAATGTGCTTCAGGCACTAAAAAACTGGAGAAAAGGGGTAGATCAGGAGGCACGCACAAAAAAATGGCCTAAATCCTTACAGGCACTTTCTAACCTCTTACACCATTTTTCAATTTAATAGCTTGCATGCCATGAACTGTTTGTATCTTTCACACACACACAGAAGCTTGACTCCTTTCCCCCTTTCGATTCCTCCACACCACAACACACCTCAACTTTTTGCACAATTTACTTCGAGATTCTTCTCCGAGGCTTCATATTCTTTTGGAGGATTTGAGAAAGGCACAAGGTGAAGGATGAGGGTTTGAGCGAAGATGGCCGCGTCGTCGGTGCCGCTTTTTTTTTTTTTTTTTTTCGATGACTGAGACACTTTGTTCCCTTCAGCGACTTTGGATGGCAGCACTTAAAACCGAGCACCCACCTCGGCGCATATCCATTTTGCCTCCTCTTTTGAGTGCTGCTGTCGCAACAGCAAAATTGGAAATCGAATGTGTGGTGACAGCGTTAATTGCGCTGTGTCAAAATTGGGCGAGTGCTAATTGTTGGAGCTGGGAACTGTAAAACATGGGAGACAGTGGAGGTGCTGGGGTCTGCTCTGCCAGAGTGCTTACTGGCTGTAAACTTGGAAACGCTTGAGCAAACACACACGATTTACATGTTAAAACAGACACACATTTACTGGGCCCTTCAAACGCCTCATCGGCCTACTCCGCCTTCGATTATCGCCTTCTCGTTTAGCTCAGACAGCAATGTGGTGATGAGGAAAAAAAGCTATGCATGCAAAGTGCTTGTATATATACATTTCTTACACCATAATGCCACATAGCATGAATTTCTGGTTGCAAAATCTTCATTTCTACCAAGCTGATGGACACACAAGCAGCTATTTGGGGAGTTTTGGAATCTCATGCATGTTAGAATTCTAATATACACCCAATGTAAAGATGCTTTTTAGTAAAAAAGGCTTGGCATGGCACCCAAAAATCCCGTCTTCATGGCTTGTAGCCCCTCTCTACTGCATTCCCCTCACTGGCTGGAGAGAATGAGTCCCCTAGTGGCCCAACTGGCACACTGAGCACAGGTGGAATTCACTTCTACTGGAAATAAAGGTTCACTTTCACCTGATTGACAGAACGGGTTTTTGCGTGACTGACCGACTCAGAGTCTGTCTGACTGATATTCTGCTGCTTTTAAAAAATATGCGAGCTCCTTAACAGGGAAAAAAAAAAAAAGAGCACAGTCAACTTTAAACCCTCCCCTGCTAAAATAAAAACGCGTTCTAAAATAAGACACATAAGATGAGGGATCTCTGGAGAGTTGCAGGAATGCACTTTGAAAATTCTTCACAATCCAGTCGCTGGGAAAAAGGCTTCCACAACTCCAGAATGATGCACTAAATGAACTGTATTTAGCCTGCGTGACAGTGCCACAGCTTGAAGGGAGCTTCAAATAACGTGTGAGCTGGTGTTTTTTGATAACAGAACGGGAGACAAACAGAAACTGGGCTGCTCAAAACGCAACACGAAGGCTATTCGTATATATTTACAGCGATATGTGGCGACAAATGACAGATTTTAACGTGGGTTGCCTCAACACAAAGCGCACACCATGGCGAAACGATTCCACCTGCACGTTCACAAATGTAGTTTATGGACAGATATATGTTCAAAATAGAAATCAAGCCAGCAAATTAGGGTCTCCTTTACATAAATCGAGGCGTTATTTCTACTGTAACTGGCTCTGGAAGCGCGACTGCCGCTAATGAAGGCTGCGCGCATCCATCATAACAATAAGAAGCTGTGCGTAAAACCATCACAGACGCATAAATAAAGAGAAAAAAATACAAAATCCCGAGACAGCACACGAGCCTGCATGCATTCGGGGAATAAATCCAAATGCGTCTCAGCCATGTGTCTCAAGCAACTTCATGAGTCTCTGACACGCACCTGAAATCACTGCGGCAGCGACTTCACTCCACAAACTCCCCGGCTCGTCAAACAGTCTTACCTTATCACCATTTCTGCGGTCAGTTTGGAAACTCTCCGGTTTATCTGTCTGCGTAAAGAGAGTTTTTTTTTCTGTCTTCTTCTTTTTCTATTATGATTTTTTTACATCCAGTAATGGCAGTCGAGTCCCGGAGAAATAAAGGAAAGAAATCCCGTCCTCTGATTCTTTTCTCTTCTTCTTTTTTTTGGTCTCCCGTTTGGTCGCTCTTGTGTCGTTTTTTTTTTTTTTTTTTTGTCCACCCCTCGAGTTTGTCCGTCACCGACGTCGGGGAGATGGGGCGAAAAGCACGCACATGGGGCGTGTGTGTGGTATATTCTCTGGGTATTTTTTTTTTTTCTGTCTGTGTTGTTGCTCGTTAGATCTTCATTGAATTGAACGTGGCGAGACTGTGGTTGTGTTTGGAGAGTGCGGAGCGACTGGGACGCACAGCCCTCCCTCTGCCTCCCTCTCTCTCTCTCTCTCTCGCTCTCCCTCTCTCTCGGTATGTCTGTCTCTCTTTGCCGAGCACGAACTAAGTGTGTGTATGTGTGTGTGTGGAGGGGGGGGTGTGTGGAGGGGGGGGTGGGTGGGGGTGACGTCACTCAGCGAGGTCCCACTCTGCCAGCTCTCCTGGATCAACTTTCTGAGTCCACTGGAGGAATGTGCACTTGGACGTGGCTATTTTAGAGGAAGATTTGTGTTTGAGACAGACGTGGGAGTGTGTTTGGGTCTGACCCGGTAATTATTTTCAGACGCAGAAGCCGTGAGAATGCGGACGCGCGGTGTCAGGCCGTGTGTGTGTGTGTGTGTGTGTGCGCGCGCCCTCAGATGTGTTGTCATTTGGAGTAATAATAAAGCCAGGGAAAGACGCCCCCTATGTGAACGATTTTCTGTTTATGTATATATGTTGGAAATGAATGTATCTACTCCCCAAAAAGGATGCTTGAGTGTCCAGTTTTAAAGAGCTCCTGAATCATAACAGTACAAGTTTATTATTCTAAATCTGAAATCTTGAATTTTTTACCTCAAGAGTCATTTTAATCATTTGTTGCTTGTGTATAAGATTAACATTATTTTTAAAATTGTGCTGTTCCTCTGACTTTAACTGCTCCATAAATGTTGGATAACACCAAGTCTTGTTAGATTGCCAATTAATTTTGAATTGAGGCTTACCGGAGACCTCGGGAAAAGCACAATTAGAGAAAATCTAACTTTATTATCACTGATGCTGGAATCCCCAGAATATAAATATGATGTCAAATCAACATCTAACAGGGATGCAAACAGTAGAAGCTAGTTCGCTCGAGCAAATATAGTTATTAGCTGGACGTGAAGTCAGCTAGTTAGCCTGGTGGACAGATTATAATACATTAATGCATCTCACCCTGGTTTACCCCAATGTGTACATAAAACACAATTTTTGTTTTGTAGACTATAATAGCCGTGATTTAATGTAAGGGTCAAGCAAATTTCATGGGAACTTTTGCGAATTAAGCTTGATTCCATTGGCTGTCTTAGTCAGAAGGTGGCAGCACAGCCTACCTTACATATGGATGTAATAAACAGTAGAATAATAAAATCAGGCTGCTAATAATAATATTAAAGTTTGACTGCTAGAGTCTGTAGTTGGGAATTAGCTCAGTGCTCAAGCTTGTTTATATTTGCATGAAATATTGTGGCGTATGTGGTGTAACTGTGCAGAGGATTGTAGATCAGAACGGTCAGAAAATTGCACTGGCTTGTATAAGTCAAAACCCAATCAGATATAGTCGGATATTATGGTATTTAGGGTGTAAAATACTGCTATATTTTGGGCTATTGGAACATTTCCCTGTTGTAACGACTAAAAACCTCAAAGAAAAAGCAAAATGTTGGTCATCTATGAGAGAAAAAAATGGAATATGGAGTAGAATGTCATTACTCTTTCATGTCAGCTGGTATTAGTCATGTTTCATGCTGTCTGGAGGCAGAAACAACTACACAAGCGAAAACAGCTGATCAGTCATATGAGTTAAATGTTGGCTGTGGCAGAAATTATTCAAAAAACCTCCACCGATTGTTTGCTTCTTTTTCAAAAAGCTCAAAAAAACACCAAGCGTGTAAATGTCATTGTAAACTTTGGGGAGGTTTATCCAAATTTTGCCATTTTCATGAACTTTTTGTCACGTGATGCTACAAAAATGCACATGTAAATTCACTTTATATCATGTAAAACGTTAAAGAGGACTTTCTATTTCATTTGCTGATTAGAGGTGGAAGTAGAATTTACATCATTTATAAAAATAGTGAAAACACTACATAAAATACCCCAAAAATTCCCCAAAATTTTGAGTAAATGTGGCAAAAGAATTGCCAACAAATATCAGAAATTAAATTCATCATACAGCAGAATACCCCATTGATGCAGTGTTATATAAGCAGTACTTTTAATCCTGCAGCTCGTCAAGGTAAAGCTAAATTTAACAATTTGGTACACTTGGATAGTTTAATTGATTTTTTAAAAAACGGCATCGTAATTTGAAAGCTCCTCATATGTTTTGTATAAATGCTTCATCTGATACACCTTCAGACTCCAGCTGTCAAATAAATGTAGTGGAGCAAAAAAGTGCCCTATTTTAGGTAAAGTGTACTTACAGTGAGTAAACCACCTGAGGAATTTCACTTAATTAATTCTCGCCGCCGACAATAGCCGGTGGGTTTCAATCAGAATGTGCTAGAGTGAAAAGTATAAGCTTTTTTCCTTTAAAATGCGGCGCACTAAAATTATCAAGAAGCACAAAATGACAGTTCAAGTTAAGTACAAGTAGCACTCGTGTGTTGCACTGGAGTGTACTTTCCCCCACCGACACCTGTGTGGATGAGCAGCGGATCCTGGCATCATGTGCTCATAATGGTGAGGGTAATGTCAGCGCAAACTCCATAAAAAAAAAAGGGCCGTCACGTACAGTAAGGTCACTGTAAACCCATTACTAAGAGCCACAGGCGTGCTTAAAGCCCCTGTAGGGATGTTATATGGACTCAGTTTGGGTGCACACACGTCTTTGCAGAAGGCATATCATGAGTCGTTTTAATTCTTTTATCCAAGGTATTGCTTGTGCATGTAGGAAATGTGCCTTGAGCGCTATACAGTCCCGGGTCAGCCTGTTGAACAGTAACCTCCATAATCCATGTGTAATGATTACACATCTCACGTAATGATTCCAAGACGTGATTCATTCACATCCACGCCACCGAATAGACACGACGCCGGACACGAACGGGATAATATAACGCAGTCATGTGCATGACCCTCCGATGTAGGGCCACGGAAAAATAACAGCGATGGCCCGGGGAGACACATGACTATGACCAATTGTGTTTTGAGAAAAGTTGCTTCTGTGGCAGCAACCCAAGCCCTCTGATGAACAACCTCGCCCCGCAGACACGAACATCCAGCATCCAACAATAGTGCTCTCTGAGAGACAGAGAGACAGACTACTGCAGTCAGCAGATCTGTTTTCTTACCTGCACTCAGACGTGTCATGCGTCTGATTGAGTAACCGTGATGCTGATTTATACCCTCAAATTATCCCCAGCGCCGTTTTTTCCGAGGGCAGAATTCGATACGGTCTGCGCATGTAGATTCACAAGCCGAAAGAGCGCGTTGGGGTTTTTTTTTGTGACAAAGAACAATAGAGAAACTTGATGAAATTACTGTTATGTGAACTGTTGCCCTCGACTGCTGGCTATGTGAGAGCACTGTGGGAGTGAGATCGTCGTGTCCCGAGGCGCAACGTACTGTAGATCACAAATGTCTGATTATCTGACTTTCACAACAGCGATTGTTTGGAAACTCTTCCTATTTATCGAAGACTGAAGGTTGGAATTTGATCGTGAAGACGGTTCTCAGACATTCAAATGCTTTTGATGAGCCTCAGTTTGCTTTAAGATAATAGTTTCGACCCGCTGACATTCGATGCCTGAACTGCAATAGCTGGTATTTTTTTTCTAATCCCTCGACTGTATTCTTGATCTCTGAATATAATTGGATAACACTTGTTAATAGATTTGCGATTCCACTCCTGCTCCTAACCTTGTGCTTTCATAATCTTGGCGCCGTCTACGGCAGCCGTTTGTTAACAAATGGGAGCGACCCGGCTCAAGTTTGTCGCCCAAACACGACGCGGTAGTCCATAACCCAACCGTCCTTCAGTAAGAAGAGGGAGGAGCTGACGGCTGAGCTGAGGAAACGCATCGCCACCTGCTGCACGTTACTCACGACATTTAGCAAGAGTCTCCCTTGGAACCATGTTCCCTTTGTTGTCGGACAATGGAAATACATTCGTATTACTTGAGTCAACGGTGTTTGATGCGGTGCCTCGGGCGTGTTTACATTCACACGTGTGCGGGAGGTCATGCAAAGTGTAGTACTGATTGACATTTACTATGTAAATACAATGCAAATGCTGGTAAGGATGCTAAAGGTTATAGCATATCAGCATGCATTTGCTTTGGATGAGTAATGTAAGCAAATCGTTTGATGTATGTGTTTCCCTGCGTACCTGCCTACACGGTAACTCTTCGGGGATGAGGCTGACTTACAAAACTAATTAGCATTGAATATTCTGATTGCTTTTCTTTCTTTTCTTTTCTTTTCTTTTCTTTTCCACAAAGATCGTGGTCGTGGGCTGGTTAATTATTTGCATGCAATGATGAGGTTAGTTCGCGTTATAAATATTTAAATATCGTGCAAAACAACAGCGCTGGAGTTAAATATGTTGAGAACTATTTGTGGGATTGTAATAAAATTCGTGGTCCCCAGAAGATCTAAGCTTCCACGAGTCTCTGGCTTTTCTTGCAGCCTCACCAGCATTTTTCACTTCACCTGTGAAATATCTCGACCTCGTGCAGATGTATTAGCACAGGTTTCCTAACTGGTTTTAAACCAATTCACTAAGCAGCCATGATATTTGGCACTTCTGTCTGCCTTTAGGATGACCTGTCACAATTTTGGTGATCTCCTCGTTTCTTCACATTTGCTCAGTAATTACATTTATGAGTAAATACAGCAACGACACATTGAATTAACAGGAAATGTTATACCTGCTTCAGCTTGTGTTAGCATGCACAAGGTAGCGTCTAAGTCAAATGACTAAACCTAGACAGACACTAACTTGACTGTAGACTTTTATTCTTTGTTTAAAAATACTGTATTATGCTGGAGTTTTTTTTTTTTTTTAACACTGTACAAGTGCAGTCCTTGACAGCTCCTTTGTGTCACGGTGCCAGAGTCGCTGCATCTTTTATACTTAAATGAAACCTTTTCTCTCAGCGGTATCTTCGGCGCTGGCCTTGTGGACAATGCAAGCCACCGTATAAAGCAAACTGATTCAATCACTCGGATTTCTTTGTAACACGGCGCACTGTTTATCTCCGCGGGGATAAAATTACGTCTTAAAGTCATATTCCTTTGT